GAAAATAAATTCCACAAAATGAATGTGGGAAACTTTCTTTGAAAAATATTAGTTTTGCAAAAAAAATAAATAAATAATCCATTTTCCTTGGAGAAAAATCAAAATTAAACATTTCAATGTGGGGTTGAGTCAGCCTAAAGCCAAACATTTTCATTTTTGTGCTGAAATATTGTATGCTGGATCAGTTCAAAATGAACCTGTGTTCAATATGCCAGAGCACTGCATTGGTGCTATAGTTTGGGCATCTTATGCACTACTCTTGCCCCTGAGCTGAGCCATCTTGATGCATCATATGACACAGAATCCAAGCAGAAAGAGAACAGAGGTATGAAGTAGGTGAACTACATCTGCTGTGATGCACCATGACAGCTTAGGCAGACACAGTTTAATGCTGAATCAAAACAACCAAAGTGTTTTGATTGAGCTAAAAAAAGTAAAACAATGTTTTGACATTTCTGAATCAAAATATTTTGGAAATCTGTCTTATCAAATTACACTGTTCTGATGTTTTATTCTGGTTCAAACATCAGTTAGAATTCCCCACAAGATGGAGGCATCCCTTGTTCAACCTTCTTAATTTATTTTGTAAAAGCAAATTATTGATGCCCTCCTGGGACAAAACACATGTACCACATCCTTGGTAAAGAAATGGAATTAACATTAGATTCCCTTCCCCTCCCACTGCTTAGATCAGCGGTTGTCAATCGAGGACTGGCATACCCCTAGGGGTACTTAAAAAGGTCCTAGTGGGTACACAGACCAAATGTTGCCGATAAATGCTGCATGCATGCGCACAGCTGCAGTGCAGCACGCAGGCAGCCAGGACAGCGACTGGGTCCAGCTGGTAGGTATGTTGTGAGGGAAGGGGCCAGTGGAAGAGGGAAAGGGGGAGGGGGCAGATCAAGGCCCCAGCGATGGGGGAGGGAGCGGGGCTGGGGTAGAAGTCCCCCAACCTCCTCTCCCAGCACCGCCGCTGCCTGCCCCGAGCAAAGCATGGCCCAGCCCTCACTGGGAACAGCCTAGCACCGGCACCTGCCCCGGCCAGCAGGGGCACCCTACCCTGCCCCGCGTAGATCTGGGGGCACATGCCCCCATGCCTTCCCAGGCCACATGCACCAGTGGAAGCCTCCACTCCCACCCCGCGCCCCACCAGATGAACAGCTTGCAGCTCTGTCCTGCTTGTGCACCCTGCCACCCCTGCCCCTTAAAAACAAGAAAAAAAAATATAAAGGGGTACCTGAGCTGGAACTTGAGAGAAGGGGTATGCTTCTTAAAGAAGGTTGAAAACCCCTGGCTTAGGTGCTGAAGGAAGAAGGTGTGCTGGGGACAAGAGGGAGGGAGTACTCCATATCAAGACTGAAGTCTGGATGAAGTTCAGATTAAGTAGAAACTTTGGTTTATGGTAGTTCATATTAAAGCACTGAGGGGCAACCTTTTTGGCACATATGCTACAAGTTAGTTTGGCACCCTTCCCACGTGCTACTCTGAACCACTTCCTCTGCCTGATCTGCTGTTCTGCTTTCAGCTCCCCATCCTTCCTACCCAATTTCCTCTCTGTTTTCTGCTTCTTACCTTGTGCGCCCTGCCTGATCTTCTGCTTTGCCTTCTGTTTCCTGCCCTATCAACTGCTGTGCTGCCTGGTCCCTCTCTGATCTGCTGGGTGCCACACACAGGCTACCCATGCCACTCGTGGCACAGGTTGGCCACTCCTGCATTGGGGTATGGTTTCTGATTTCTTATATAATCAGCCCATCAGTTGACACGTACATCATCTTCTTTTGGAGGGTTTGCTTCCACAGATCCCATTGTATAATATTCCATTGCATAATAATGTATATAATATTGTATAATATAATTTCATTATATTTGAGCAAAATAAAAAGAAATCTCCCAGTGCTTTAATGAGACACACAACCATAAAAATCACTGAGAAATCAAAAAATTAAAAAAACGAGAGAAAGCAAATCCCACTAAGAATGGTAAAAAACATTTTATATTAAATTGGTTAAAATTTCCCTAATTTTAGGTTCACTCTATGCATCAGTAAATGATTAGACTTACTTAAATCATTTCCAGTTACTTAGAGACAGCATAGATATTTAAAAATGAAGTTAAAAGTTCCCAGCTGCTCATCTATAATGCTATAGCAACTTGGATATCAAGGCATTTATCCTTAATAGAGCATTCAAGAGAATTAAAGAAGTTGGCCATACATGCATAATAAGAGCTAATCAGAGCCTCAAGATCTAAAATTAGCTTCCTGGCCAGTTCCTCGCAGAATATGACTTTCCACAAACTCAATAGCACCTATGGCCCACCTTTGAAAAGTATATAAATTATCCAAGGTTTTACTGACAAAATTTGAATAAGGAATTCACAGAACATGTTGTTGTCATTGTAAATAAGTAGGCACTATAAAGTAAGAGAGTTAGAAACTCCTTCAAGGGCTACCATGGATCTGAACATACAGCTTCAGTTTATTCAGGAAGTACTTAAATACTACTGTAAAACGTTAAGTATATTATAGTATAACTGAAGAGTATGCTAGGCCATCTGTGCACAGGGTAGCAGAGCTAAGAATATTGGGGGCTACCTTACTTTTTTCCAGTTCCTGACTCCTAAGCACTTTACTTTGCAATCTTTTTCTCCTCTGCTCAAGATTGGCACTCTCCAGAAATAGAGATGTAGTTAACTGTATTAGTCTAAAGTCATGGAGAAGGCAGGGCAGATTTACACCTTACAGACTAGCCAAAGTAGATTTTACATATAAATAGCACAAGCTTCCATGAGCTGAGCTCACTTCATCAGATGCTCTGAAAGGACAATATTCTTTGGACTGCTCTAGAATGTAGTAGCAAAAATACTAAAATGTATTTCCTTATCCCCACCAGTTGGATTAACACCAGTGCAGTTTTGGGGAAGCTTAAATAATAGGAATCAAAACAAAGTGATATTTTGGGGAGATACAACCACTTGCTGTTAACTGAAAAAACAGATCCTGCTTGTTCAATTTTTTTTCTCTTTTTACAGAGAGTATAAGCCTCTCATCCTGTCATATTTTTTACTTAAACTGGTTGGATAGGGGAATAGTATAGTCTATCATTTCCTTTAAAATTGTAAATTTTTTTAAATAATTTGAAGATGAATGAAGTATATTCATAATCTGCCTCATCCTTCTCCAGATTTTTTAACATTTTAATGAAAATTACTGCAAATATTAAACAGTGCCAAAATCTGTCATGAATTACAGGGCAAAGTACCTCTTCACTGCATTGCAAATGTATGGATGCCAGTGACAAATGGATAGGCAGGACTCAGAAGTGAAACCAGGGAGACCAAATAAGAAAGAAAAGTGAAACTATCTAAAGAAAAAGATAGGAAGCAGCTGGCAGACAAAAGCTCAGATTTTATGGCTGCACGATTATATTAGTGTATCGACTCAGATCAGACCTACAATACACTGAAATTTCAAGCAACAATGGAAAAGCGCAATATTTTTTTCCAGGAAATATGCTCAGTATCAGCACTACTTTACTGAGGGCAATTATAGCATGACAGGATTTCCACTGATTGAACAGACTTGGAATTGTAGTAGGCAACTGTTGATCCTCTGGATTATGGTGTATGCATAAGAGTTCTAGCCAGGTACACGATGAATATGCTTGTATGGAGCCCTGCAACCATCACACCTTTGATGCATATGCTTAGGCAAGTATACGGAGGGGTGGAGGTTGCCCAAGACCTACCATCCCCACTTTAAACCATTGAGACAGAATCCGAAGGCCAAACCAAGTCCAGGCGTTCAGTGCCTCAGTGGTTGTAGCTTCTGCCAGAGAGCAACAGATAAGAACTGCTCCTGACTTTCATCTTTCTGCCTTCCTCCTTGATCCAGGTTGACATAACTTAACCCTCTTCTTCAAATTCATTTCTTTCAGAAACCTGAAACCCCACTCTTCTGTGCAGAAGACTCACTGAATTAGATGAGTAACTGAATTAGACTAATTCAGAAGACTCACTGAATTAGATGAGTAGATGAGAAACTATAACCCAAACTAATATAGAGAGTTATGAAAAGCTTCAGCATTTTGTCATCGTGCTATAAAGTTATATCTTCTACCTGTACACTAGCAGTTTCAATGGTTAAATCTCTTTGGACCAAGAATCATATGTTACCAGGAGCTACTTTTCACATTATTGAGAACATATAAATAGATACTATGTGCTTACAGTATGATGGATGCTTCTTGCTGAACTTAAAACTCTATTAATTGCTGTAGTAAAAATGTAAAATAATGCATAAGGTTGTTTAAAATTGCTGGAATTATGCAAGGATGCTGCAATGCTGTACCAACAGACATGCTGTAAAATCTGAAGTTCAAATGCAAATCTTTATAACAGTGGCACCATTGAGGGTTGCTTAGCAATATTTGCTACTTTATCCTATGTTCTAGGAGTTGGTAAAATAAAGGTTAACATGCTCTGTACTTTTGACAGAACACAGTTCAATTCAGAACCAACGCTGGAGGCAGGAGACAAAGTGTTTAAAGCCTTTTTCAAAGTGGAGGTGTTAAAATGCTGCTACGAGGAAGCAAAGATAAAAGCCGTGCTAAAAGTGACTTAACTTCTATTTTTGCATTTCTTTCTTTCCTACAAATTCACATATCACAATAGACTGAATCCATTGCCTTCAACTAGTTTTAGTTTTCATACCATTCAATTATTAGAATGTGTCTTAATTAAGAGTAAATGCAACTGGATGAATTTCAAAACAATGAAAAATTTCAGGAATGACCTGAAACAAGAAAGCTAGTTGGCGCTAAAGAAATTATGCTTAAAAATAAATATTGCTGAGAATCAAAGGCATCAAATAACTCTTACCCCTCCCCCACCAATGCCTCCTACAGTTATCCTCTTCTGTTGTTGAGAGATAAAGTGGCAGTAGTATCATAACAATTCACATAAATAGTCTCCAACTTATTTACCAAACCCTCAGAACTTACGCAATCTTGTCACATACTGCACACTTCCAGCTCCCATCAATTCCCATGACACGGCACTTCCTGCAAACTCTGAGTCTGCATGTTTGGCACAAGTCCCCCCTGTCGAAGATTAAGCCCAGGTTTTTCTGACAACGAACACAGACCCTGCTGCTCTCTTGCTGGCGGTGACGGTTTCCACCTTTCCTTTTCACTTCTAATAGCTCGTTTTTCAGTTTCCTAGAAGCAAACAAAGAAGAGGCTTTAATTTTGAGATCCCTACATTTCAGGTTCTCAGTATTTTGTGGCAACATTTTTACCTTAAGAGGCAGAGGCAACACACACAAAAGAGTCAACAGCTCAAGGGTGCTAAGCACTAAAGAACATATATACACATACATATATACACACACGCACACACATAGATATAGATATCTATATAGTGATATAGATATATAGATGTAGATATAGATAAGAATTAAGTAAATGTAAGAAGCCATGATTTCATCTCAAATCCCTTTTCAGATGGGTACATACAAAGGAATCAATTTCTCTGATGACTTGCTCTAACTGTAATGCAGCCACATTTTACATAAATCTTAGATGTAGCCCAGCCCAGTTACCATCTTGACCACCTGAGAAGCAGCCAGGTGGCCTGCAGCCCTTCCAGAGCAGCAAACCTCCCTGGGGGAGACACCCAGGATAGGAACAACCTTTGGATGCCACCAAAGGGTGACACACAGGGGTACTCTTTGAAGATGCCTTTTGGTAGGGGTGTGGAAAGAGGGAAGACATTTTCTACACCTAAAAGTGAACGGGGGTCCAAAATATTAGGAAGCATGGCTGGGATGGGCTTGGGGGTTGCTCTCCTGGGTGACTGGCAAAGGAACAGGAGGGTGTGGGGTGGAATTTTAAGATGCTGGGGTGTTGTCTGAAGAGTTTGTTGTTGTTTCATATCTTGTGGGTTGTTACATCTTTTATTATAAGCTACCCTGAGCCTTCTCAGGGAGGTTGGCATATAAATCTAATTAATAAAATAATACACAAACAAACAAATGCAACAGCTGCTCATAACTGCACAGTGTTTTCAGATAAAATATAATGAAACTAAAAAGTTTTGTTAGAGAGGCAAAATACAATTACCTCAGTTTTTTTCTGGAGCTCTACAATTAAAATGAGTACCCTTTTCCCAAAGCATCACAATCTTCATTTGTGTACACACAGTTATAACCATAAACGTTGAATGAGCAGAGCAGGAATCAATGAATTCTCTTTACAAATTGTAAGAAAATTCATTCCTTTGTTATTCTGCATTATTACATTTTATCTTGTGAAAACAAATAGCCAGAGGATAATACAACATAAATGGTTTTGGAAATAGTAAAATAGTATCATATACTAGACACTAGACACCATTGTATTTATACCATGATGTACTGAGTTATGGAGCATGTACACGGATCATATATATGTCACTTTAAAATTAAAGGGGGGAAAATGGAGTTAAAGCTCACATTAAATAATTACTAACATACATTATTACACATGGTTCAGCAGCAATACAGCAATAAATATAATTTGCAGGGTATAAATTATGCCTTCAAATAGTGGCTGTATTTTCTTCATATGTATCAGTCCCCCCTTAGAATATGGATCTTTGCATAAATTAGAGAACTGTAGAGCAAGTAGGGCTGAAAGGGACCTCCAGAAGTCATCTAGTCCAACCCTCTGCCTGAGGCAGGATCATCCCTATCCAAATCATCCCATACAAACCATAATCTAAATTCTGCATAAGATTACTGTCAACCCTTACACAACACATCTATAACACCATAACCTGCCCCAAGGAAAGCAGAGGAACCATGGCAACCGATGTTCTGCTTCTATAAAAGGTTGTCAATATATGCTCAAGAGATCCCAGTTAAAAGGGCCATGCCTCCATCTACAGAGGAAGGCAAAAACCCCAACAGTCCATAACAATCTGACCATGGGGAAAAATTCCTTCCTGACCCCAAATATGGTGATCAGTCCCACCTTGAGCAGAGAGGGAAGTCCCTCCAGCCAGGAACCTCCTGTTTTAAGTCCAAGCAGGAACATTAAGTCCAAGCAGCACCCCAGTCAAAATTCCCAGCCTTGGTTATAGCCAACACACAATGCCTCTGAGAGAGACTTAAAAACACCCAGATGCATGTAGCAGAAAGGGGTGGGAGGAAGGAGGTGGAGCAGAGGCAACCAGTAAAGACCAGAAGCATTAAAATACCCATCGTAGAATATAGGCATAGCTACAACTAGATCTGATCCCTGATCAGTGACTGTTCAACCTTTTCTTGAACGCCTTCAGCAATGGAGAGTCTACAACTTCTCTACGCAATCTAGTCCCTGCTTCACTATTCAAACAGTGAAAAAGTTTTTTCCTGATATCCAATCTAAACGTATGTAACCCTATACCCACATGACAATCTCTGTGTGGGGCTTAATTGCATACTGCTATTAGTATGCAAGTTTGGATTATGGGGACTGTTTCTCTTATCTGCATATCCCTACTGGTATGCATAGGTGAGGGGTGAAACACTCTTTTGTGCTGTTCTTCTCTGTGATAAAATGTTTTAACTGCTTGTAACATTTTGAATATGAGGCCAGGGAAGCTGGGTCTAGGTGCACTGGCCCTGCCTTCAAAACTATAAAGTGTGGACAGTGCAGTCAGTAGAGTGAATGCACTCTATGTGGGACTAAGGGAACTCTAAATCTACTGACTGTGCGGAACTGTTAATTGTGGGCTGAGTGGGGCTACTGAGTGATTAAGCAGTTCTTATATCTGTTTGCCAGCTCATCTCCTTTTCCCCCATTAATAAACCCATTATAGTTTGATATTGCTTGAGAGTGGGGAAGTTTGTTCATGTTGCAGTACCAACATAGAAATTACTTTCCCAGGTTTCCAGGTGAGGGCTCAAACCAGGATAATCAGTGTGTGTAAATCCCCTAAGGTGAACTTGGCCCTTGTTGCTGCCATCTGGTGCCTCCCAGAACAGTTACACTTATTTTGCTGCAACTTCAAGCCATTGGTCTGTGTCATCCTCTCTGCAGGCTCTTTATGGCAGCCCTTCAAGTACTTGAATACTCCTATCGTGTCCCCTCTTAAGTGCCTTTTCTGCAAATTGCACAGGAAGAAGAAAAGCAAAGCAAAATGCATTTGGGTGAAGATGAAAGGTGAAAGATGCAGCACCAATATAACGGTGGAGATTTATGATAGGCCACCAAATCAGAAAGAAGAGGTACATGAGGCACTCTTCAAGCTTCTGGATAGATTTGTCACCTACTTGAACAGTGCCTCATCCACCTCCTCTTTCTCACTTGGTGGCCTATCATAAATCTCCACCATTATATTCGTGCTGCATCTTTCACCTTTCATCTGCACCCAAATGCATTCTGTTTTGCTTTTCTTCTTCCTCCTGAACCAGGGAACAAGTGTACGTGTTTTGACATGCAAGGCAACACCACTACCTTTTTTCTCAACCCTGTCCTTCCAAAACAGAGTGTACCCCTCCATGTTGGCATTCCAGTCATAAGAGCTGTCCCACCAAGTCTCTGCGATGCCAATCAGATCACAGTCCTTTTCACAGGCTGCAGTTTCCAGCTCATCTCATTTATAACCCACACTTTTCACATGTGTATATGTTCTTTGGATGTATTTTTCATCTTAACCTATTTGCTTCACTTTTGAGCCACTTGTTGCAGTGCTGTAGCTCTCTGGCCCTTTCCCAAAGTTGAGTTGCTTTCCTCTTCAAGTCCTTTCTCCTCTGGACAGCATGCTCTGTTGCTGGAGGGTTTTGATCACTATCCCCGATTCCTAGTTTAAGCCCTCCCTTACTAGGTTGGCCACACAATACCCAAAAAAACTCTTACCTGTTCTCATCAGATGGTTCTTATCTCTTGATAGCAGCCCTCCTCCTCCCAAGAACATCTGCCCATTGTCAAACAAGCCAAAGCCTTTGCATTGACACCACTGTCTCAGGCACTCATTCTCTTCCAGGATACAATGGTCCCTGCCTGGACCCTTGCCTTTCACAAAAAGAATCAATGCCAAAAGCCTCATAGTCACCTCTGCTCTGCCCAGTGTCATTCCTGGCAGTATCATTGGTGCCTACACAAACAAGCAGGAAGGTGTAGTGGCCCAAAGGATGGATGTGATTTGGCCGTCTCTCCAAGATGTCCTGAATTTGGGCTCCAGGCAGGCAGAACACCTACTGGGCCCCCAAATCCAGACAACAAACTGGTACCTCTATCCTCTGCAAGGGAGTCATCAACCACCACCACTCTTTTCTTTTTCCTTCTTGGTGCAGTGGTCTGAGAGCTCTTGTCTTTGAGGCCTTGCACTCTAAGCTGCTAACTCCTCTGCAGATATGCTTTAGAAATCATTAACTTTAATATCTTCATGTAAATTACACTTCACTTTCAAAATGTAAGTTTGAAAGTTTAGATCTCTGCATACACAGAGTTCCATGTTACATTCGCTAAAGTAGCAGATGTAGCTCCTGTATTAAAAGAACCTGATTAAAAGGTGAATACCGCAGAGAAAATCCAAACAAAAAGAGGCTCTTAAAATGCCATACTTGGAGAACATGATTTTTCTAGAAATGCTTCCAATTTTGTCACTACTGGCATTTATCAGTTAAAAGGTGAGGCTGAGTCTTTCCTGCATCTTTGGCTTTGCTTTAGTTTTTTTACCCTGTACTTTTCTGATAATTTAAATGCCACTTTCTATAGTTGCATAGTGTTCCAGGTCCTTTATACATTCAAGTGTTATTTGTGTAGTACTCTGCAATTATAATGCCTTCTAACTGCTCCATGCTTTCAATGAAAATGTGGTTATTGACATGTTGACTTTATACTGTATTTATCCAAATCTAAGATGACACTGAGTTTAAGTATCATAATTAGATTCTAGACATGGAAAATGTATAAGTTTGTTATAATTTTCCATGCATAGAAACTAATTTTGAGGGTCATCTTAAATTCACGCCCCTTTGCCCCCACTCCTGCAGTGGGTAAAGGAGTGGCGAGGCAACATGGTGGGGGAGAGGCAGAGGGCAGGGAAGTCAAGTAGCCTGACCACTGCCCCTTGCCTTTTGTACCCCCCACAACTTGCTCCTCTGGTGCCTGTACACCCCATGCCTTCCTCCTCTCTGCAGTGCCTATAACACCTGGCACCTGCTCCCCTCCACCCCTACCACTTACCCCTC